TATGAATTCATGACATATTCAACTTTTTTTTAACTTTTTAATATCTTTAAACTTTGTGGCTCTCCTGCAAGTTTTTTCAAATTATTGCAAAATCTCCAAAAAATATCCACGTGTAAGCAGACCCACTCTGTATAAACCCATGTTGTTCAAGAGTCAGCCATGACAAAAAAAGGATCAAAATATTTTCCAAAGCACCTTCAGAAACTAAAAATTTTTTGCTACTTCAATATGGAGAGAGGAATACTTAGTTCAAATACATGGTTGGGAAGCTTAAGGAAAAGAATAAGCCCACTAAGTAACAGTCTCATGATGAAATACTCAGAACTTGCTTACTGGTTACCAAAGACTCACAGGAACCTCAAGCCCAGCCATACTCTGTCTCACAAATAGTCATCCTAAGCAGGTAACTGAGAATGTTGGTGCACAATTAATTCTGACTGGGAACAAGAGCGTAGTGTCACTTACCCACATCCTCAATAAGGAAGGAGTATGTCTCCGCATTCACCTTGATGTACTTAAGACTTTTCAGTGACTTCCCATAGGCAATGTTGTAATGCTCCACAGGTCTACTGGTAGTATCTTTGGGTGGGTCCCATGTGACTTTCAGGCCCATTTTAGTGGACAGCAGTTTCACGTGCCTTGGCTTCAGTGGGTGGTCAACTATGCAAAAGGCGCAGCTATCAACTTATGGCAATGGCAGATTGGGAAAGAACTTTTTTGAATGTTCTCTGATATTGTTAGTAAAAGAGTAAATGACATTAAATCTGTCTGATCCTGAAGACTTTTAAGTACAATCATGTTTGCACATTGTTACAATATGACAACAAAACAAACATACCAAACCCACATGCTTGTATGTATTTTGGATGATCATGGGTGGTAAATTTAAACCAACAGTGAAAAAATCAAAATAAATTTGAGACATCCTCTGTCTTGATTACACTGACATGTCAATGCAAGAAAAAAAGATGAATAACTTGACATCTCCAGAGACATTCTTATATTAATAAATTTTTAGAATTTTGTATCATAAGCCACAATCTCTAAAAAGCTCTGAGAAGAACAACATAATTATCATAATTAAGAAGAAAAACGGGGGCTGGGGATTTAGCTTAGCAGTTTGGTGGCCTGCCTTGCAAGCGCAAGGACTCAAATTCAATCCCCAGTACCAAAAAACAAAAAACAAAACAAAATAAAAGAAGAAGAAAACCTGTTCTATTCAAAGTGGGGTAACACAAGTGTTCATTTTCACAAAAAAAAAAAAAAATCACCTACTTACCAAGGAAGTAAAACTCTTTTATCTACATATACCCTAATTTAAATGTTTCCATATTTTGTCCCAGAGGAAAAGTAAGTTATTAAGAAGTATATTATACATTCATCTTCAGTTATGAGGGTCTAAACATAAGTTTTGATTTTCAAATGTACCAAAATGAAACAGAACCTTTTGTCAAACATCTTAGCTCACTATGTAACCAATATTGTAATTTATGATAATGTAAATACATGCCAAATGATCATGCAACAGTGAAACAAATTTTTAGTGAACTTGAATCTGAAAATGATGCAAGATATTCTCAGAAAAGAAAAATCATGAAAGAAAGAAAGAAAAGAAAAGAAACTGGCTTAGGAACATTAAGGAAAATGTATTTGGAATCTCATAAAAGAAAGGGAAGAATGTTCAATGATGACACATACATTGGTTAATATATGATTTTAATCCTAAATGAAAATTGTAAATAGAATAAACACAAATGATTCTAGCATACATCAATAATTCCTCCCAGCATTGCCCCACTCCCTCTAGAGTAAAACAATTGGCAAAGAGAGAACCCCAGAGAAAATTCTTTGGAGAAACACAAAGTATGAACTGAGTCAAAACTGGATGGTTTAAAGCATTAGAGAAAAGGTATCTATTGCAAAGACAAGGTTTGACTATGGGCACAGACCAAAATTCACAAAGCATCCCCACCTAAATTCACATGCACAGTTCCTGTAACCCTGTTATCTGCTTGCCATAGGTAAGAAACTGATGCTGTAGACTACAGAAATACCATGCCAGTTACTTGCTGAGCATTTAAAATGGCCCATTATGTCTCCATTTTTATAAGTTCTTTTCACTTTTGCTTTCCTGCAAAAAAAACTCCATCAGGAATCCTTCCCAGGAATCCAACACCTCACTTGGACCAAAAGAAGTAAATCAAGATATCCAAACTACAAATGAAAGTATGGGTGTGTGATTTTCCCAAGGAAGAAAATGAATGAATGAATGAATGACTATGTGAAGCATATTTTTCTTTCCAGTTCAATTCTAAATCTCTCTAAAGAAAAGTCTGTTCCTGAACAAACATTCTTAAATATGAGATCTATGAAATCCAAATACTTCCACACACTGGTGATTCAGTCCACAGCAACATAGGCCAAAAGAATGATTTACTTTTATTACTGATATCTGAAAAGAACAATCTATAAATATACTCATTTTTCTTCCCTGACATACTTTTGTGTTAGTCAACATACCATGATAAAATACCCAAGATAATCAATATATAAAGAGGAAAGCTTGCTGGCATGGTAGTTCATGCTTGTAATCTCAGCACTCTGGGAGGCTAAGGCAGAAGGATCATAAGTTTGAACCCAGCCATGGAAGTGCAGTGGCTCGTGAAACCCTGACTCAAAATAAGTTCAAAGGCCCTGGGTTCAATCCCTGGTACTATAAAAATAGAAAGAAAAAATGTTTATTTTTGCTTACAATTTTAGGGATTTCATACATAATCAATTGGCTCCAGTGCTCTTGGGTCTGTGATGAGGCAGCTCATTATGGTGGGATCATGTAGTAGAAAAAAGCTGCTCATCTCACTTTGACCAGGAAGCAAAAGAAAGAGGGAGAAAGAGATTGGATTCCCCCTATCCCATTCAAGGAGTCCTCCCAATGACCCAAGACCAATGGTTCATCAGCCCCTACCTCTTAAAGGTTCAACCTCCTTCCAAAAGCTCCACAGGTTGGAGACTAAGCCTTTATCACATAGGCCTTTGGAGACTTACACAAAACATAGCAGCCTTACAATCATCCTTGAAGACAGCATCAGAGAATCTGTAACATACACAGAAGCCTACATTCAAATGGACTCATCAGTCCAATATGAACAGAGCCATTCAAATCCATCAAGGAGCTTTAATAAGATGAACAAAGAAGGAAAAGGAGAAATACCTTTGGATGTCAAAATCCAACGAATGTCATTTTACCTGTTCATCTAGTCAAGCTTCCACATGTGTCTATGAATGACTCTGTTCTCCTCCAACCAAAGATCAAGTACTATCAAAGTGTGTATCTCAATCAACTCATTAAATTGTGCTAGCATTTGTATGTTAGAGAAAAGGCATAAGATGTGCCAGGCATGGTGGCACATGCCTATAATCCCAGCAGTCTGAGAGATTGAAGCAAAAGGACTGCAAGTTTGAGGCCAACCTGGGCAACTTAGTGATTCAGAGAGACACTGTCTTAAATTTTAAAAATGAAAAAGGGATGGGGAATTATCTCAGTGCAAAGGCCTTGGGCTCAATCCCCAGTACTGCCCACCTCCAAAAGGCACAATTTATGTATCTACTCTACATCATAAAAATGGAAATGAGAATAGAAAATGGATAGGAAAGGGTCTTACTGAGTGGCAACTATGTGCCTTTTACTATTCTAACACTTAAACTCATTACCAATGAAAAAAATCAAGGCCTGGAACAGAGATGTCAGGTGAACTCAGTCACACAGCTATAATAGGGACACAGCCAAATGCAAGCACGGCTTTGCCTGACTCCAAAGCCTGGCTTATGAGCTCTGTGAATATGTCCCTGAACATAAATGACCAATGATCATATCTACTGAAACCTATCCTAAAGCAAACTGTGAGATCTCTGTGATTGTATTTACCATTTCCACTGTTTTCCTCTGGGGGGAGCTCTCATCCTCTGTGATGGGTGTCCCTGTCCTCCCCTGCTCCTCTGGAAGGAATGGGGTAAATGGATGATGTGCTCTCTCAGAGACATTTGAATTCTTAGGACAAAACTTTCACCAAAGAAGTGACTCTTGTCGTGGCATGCTAGACCTCAGAGGGTTGTCCAATGAGTATTGTTTTTGAATCTAAAGGCTCTTGGGAACCTTGAAGTCATAGCTGAGAGGCAGCTTTCCAGTTAATCTCCTTAAAAGACTAGTCCAGAATTTAAGTTTCTCCAAACATATTAGGCTAATAGACAACACCTCCTCCCAACTAACTTTCAGACACACACAGATTGGGCCAAGGGAGCAAAATTCTTGACTTGATTAATAGATATTTTCCTTACCTAGATTCTCTCACCTTAGGCTTTGAAATGAATGGTATGTTTTGATGCTTCCTAATAAACACCAGCCATGATTATCTCAGAGAGAATTAACCAAAAAACACAATAGGAAGGATGATAAAAGCAATCTTCTCAAATTCCAGGAAAATGCAATCATGAGCAACAGAGAGATATCCTCTCCAATATTTGGAATCTTGACACTAGCATATATATCTCAACAAAATAAAGAAGAGGGAAGTGGGTCCCCAGGACCCAGAAAGATCTGAAGTGAGAATTAGAGCCCAGGGGGAGAGCTAAAACAGGGACCACAATGCAGAATAGGGAGGTGACAAGCAGCACTTTTTCTCTGAGCTGCAGCTCACAGCATGGGAGAGGCAGCTCAAACCTGCAGAGGCATGGTGACTACTGGCAACCCTGGAGGCCTCCACAGAGAAACACACCAGTAGAACAGAGCAGAAAATGCTGCAGACTGCAGTGGCTGGTGAATTATTCAGGTTCAGAGTTCCCCCAGGAGAGGGCAATTGGCCAGTAGCCATTTCAGAAAGGGGTCAAATGAAGTCAAAACTCAGAGCAGCTATGGGTTGGCTCCATCTAGTAGCTCAAAGTGTCAGGGTGAGGCACAGCAGAGTTCAAGCAGCAGGAGGCACTTGGAAACTGAAACCAGAGCCAGAAGCCAGAAGCAGCTTGAACTTCAGTGGAACTAAAGTCCCAGGTTTGGTGGGATTGTCCTCCACCACCACCATAATTCTACTGCTTGCTTTCTGGAATTAATCAACATGGATCTGGGCCCTGTCTGCCCTCTCAGTGACAGCAAATTTGCCCTGAAGTAGATATATTTTTTTCTGCTTTTCTTCCTTTCTTTGCTCTTTTTCTATTTTCTCTCCTTTTATTTATTATTTTTTCTTATTTTTATACAAGTGAGAACACTATTTCTAGTTTTGTTGTCATTGGTGTTCTTGTTTTGTTCTGTTCATGTTCCTGTTTCTTCTTTCTTTCTTTCCTTCCGGTCTTCTTCACCAGTTCCCAAAGCCTGAATAATCTTCCCCCGCTCTCTAGCCTTGCTTGCAATCCCTTTCTCTTCTACTATTTCTCTATTTTTTCCCAAAACCCTTTTAATTTTTCTCCCCTGAGGGTAAATTAAAGAGGGTCAATTAACAGGTACCACAGTTTTTCATTTTCAAGGGTATGTTTAATGGTACTGTTATTATTGGTTGTACTGTTTTAGCTAAGGTGACATAATTATTCTAATCAGTTGTTCTCCCTTGTATGCCAAGACTGAGATTGCCTGAGGGGGTCATAAAACAATACTATAGGTCAGTGCCAA